TAACATTTTCAAGCAAAAGAAGAATCTTTGCCAATAGTTTCTGTTTTTTGTGTGTGTGAAATCCAGATTGCTTTGGCACAAGGCTGAATGGGGTATGCTAGAGGCAACTGAGCACATCGAAGGCTAAGAATCTGTCCTCACATGCTTCTGTGTCTATTAACCATCTATATGAATTTATTCAATAATAAAAAAAAGATTTAGAACATTTGCATTTTACTGTTGTTCTGTTCTCTTTGATCATGGAAAATTTGAAAGGTGCGTCTTTCCACTCCAACGATATCGGCAAAGTTTTTTTTCCAAGGTAAGATTTTAATTTCACCATGTCCCTTCCACAATGAGTAGCTTATTATCCTTTTATGACTGTTAAACGTCACGTATATCATTGCAAACGTTACTCTGTGCTCTAAAAATAGACATATTTTATGATATTGTGCCATGCAGGGTTTTTGCATAATCTAGAGAAACATGCGAGTATGACAGTGGGGTACAGTTGTGACACAGTGTATCAACTGTACCCAGACAGGTGTCCTATTGCTTCACATGCTGTTTAGCTGTACAGAGTTATGATAATAGGTTAAAAGTCACATTTACACACATGCTACACAAATGTTTAAAAAATTATATTTGTGATATTTCAACTGTCTATTATTAATGGACATATTTTCTAACATGAATGTTAAAAGGATAGCATAGCATTTTGTGAAATATACAAGGTTGTAAAGTGGGTACAGTTGATACACCTTTTACAGTATATCCTATGTATGCAGTAACAGTTCCATCAGAAAATAAGATGCATATTCAGAGGCTGTGTGTGTACTGGTTTTATATGTTATGAGGACCAAATGTCCCCACAAGTATAATAACAGTAAATTAGGTCCCTATGAGGAAACAAGCTGATTAAAAATGTAAAAATACAGAAAGTTTTGAGTAATGGGCATAGGTTTAGGGGTCGGTTTATAGATTATACAGGTATGTAGAGGAATAAAATATACTGTCTGAACAGTATAAGAACCACTACGCTTATGGAATGTCCCTATAATGTTAGAAACAACTGTATGTGTGTGTGTGTGTGTGTGTGTGTGTGTGTGTGTGTGTGTGTACTTGTATATATGGTTTATGAGGACATAATATATTTATACTGTGTCCCCGTAAAACAACAGGCTTAAAAAACAAACAAAACGGTGTTTTATGAAATTGCCAGTAATTTTCTGTAAAGGCTAGGTTTAGGTGTAAGACGATAGAAAATACAGTTTGTACAGTATAAAAACCATTACGCCTATGGAGAGTCCCCGTAAACCACAAATGCAAGTGTGTGTGTGTGTGTGTGTGTGTGTGTGTTAGGCAATGTAGTCTGTGTGGACTTTATTGTTGTTTCTGTTTTTGTTGTTTTCCATGACAAGTTACGTTATTTTTACTGTTATGCTTACATTTGTACTGTTTGCCATATCTTTTCTAGTGTTAAATATTTTGTTCCTATTTTGTTGAACTGAATCTGAATTAAATAAAGCGAATAAATAAATCTGAATTAAAAAAAAAATTGCACAACTGTAATTTATTACATTTGCAATAAATGGTTAGCCAGCTTTAGAGCATTAAGAATGGGTGTCTCAACTGTACCATGGTACTGTTTCAACTGTACACTATATGGGTACAGTTGAGACAAAAATGCACCTTATGTTTATGAGCTAATTGTGCAAAATATAAACTACTTATGGCTATTATTAGTGTATGATATTTTAGTACATAAGCAAAAGAAATATAATGTGAAAAATCACTTCATTTCGCACTCTTAAAAATGCTGGGTTAAATACAACCCAGTGCTGGGTAAAATAGGGACAAACCCAGCAATTAGGTTGTTTTGACCCAGCAGTTGTGTTACTACCCAGAAGGCTGGGTTATACATTTAACCCAACCGCTGGGTCAAAACAGCCCAATTGCTGGGTTTGTCCCTATTTTACCCAGCACTGGGTTGTATTTAACCCAGCATTTTTTAGAGTGCGGCATCTAGTTTTTGTGTAGTGATGAAAAAAGCAGAAAGTGTCTCTACTGTACTCAGTCTACCCTACATATCTTTCCAGAAGAGATCCATACATCTCCAAAGCACCGTCCATTATCACCTCGCCAGTCTGGCGGTGTCCGACCTGCTGATTCTGGTGCTGTGTATGCCGCTGTACAACTTCATCTGGATTCATCACCTGTGGGCTTTTGGTGAAGTGGTCTGCAGGGGCTATTACTTTGTGCAGGTTGGCTGTTTGTACGCGATTAAATATCGTGAGTCTGAGCGTGGAGCTCTACATGGCGCTGTCACCCATTCAAAGCCAAGAGTCGGATGTCCCGCGGGCGCACCATTTGCGCTTTGTTGTGCATCTCTTATTCTCACCTCTCCGATGCTTCTGACGATGGGGCAAATTTACATGGGTGAAGAAAGTATCTGTACCACCGTGGCCTCCTTCAACACCGCCAAAACAGTTCTACAGGTGGGCATTAAGTTATAATCATTTTTAAACATATTTTTAAACATTAATGCTTCTAAAACAAAAGAGATGTCCACTGATTTCCTATTTAGGGACTGTATTTGATGATAAACTAAAATTCGAGGCAAACACTGATATTATTAGAGGGAAAGCGCTTCAGCGTATATATTTTCTGAGGAAACTTCGAACTTTTCATGTTTCTTTTATGAAGATGTTTTATACTTGTTTTATTGAATCTGTTTTAGGTTTTTCTATTATTTGTTGGTGTGGCAATTTGAATGTAAAGAATAGGAGTAAGTTGAATAGTATAGTTTAAATGTGCAGCAAGATAGTGGGGATCGACTTAAGGACTATCACACAAATTTATGAACATAAGGTGACTAGGAAGGGTCAGTTTCCGATGTCCCCCATCCATTGTGGGCTGAATTTCAACTGCTTCCTTCTGGTTGGAGATTTAAACTCCCTTTGTGCAAGTCAAATAGATACAAGAATTCTTTACCTGCTGCAATAATGTTTTTAAATGACTCATTATAATGTGTGCGTTTTGCTGCTGTATACTGTCGTTTACATAAAGAATTGCCTTTAAGGACAATAAAGATAAAGATAAGAATGAAAGAATTAAAGATTAATTAAAGAAAAGATTAAGAATTTTACTTAACAGTTTTGGGGGAAATCCCGAGACACAAATATGCAATTTATTTACATTTAAACCTGGACATAAACTTAAATTTTCAGAATGTAAAAACGTTGCAATATACAACAAAAAAAATATTTCACATGCATTCTGCGCTATTTTTCACTAATCTGATAAATTTGTGTTGATCGGTAAACTCCTTTGACAGTCAGATGTTATTGATTCCATTGAAGCACAAGATACTCTTTGGGTCATTCTCAAATTATGCTGGAGAATGTGATCAGGTTTTGTTCAGTTATGTCAGCTTGAGTGCTGCTGGCATACATAATGAATAATGGCAACATAAATAGTCGAAAATAAGAAATATTTTGACGTTTTTTTGAGTTTGCATCATCATTGCATCTTTCTGATGAAAACACACACATCACACACACACAGACACATGACGTATGACGCAGTTATATATATATAAAACGCAGGAATTTCTGCTTAAAAAGCATAAGAAACACAGCACACATCACATCAACAGAACTCATGAAAATAATGCTTGCAACTTAAACGGTTTAATTAAATTTAAAAAATGCACTTCATTCATTTCTACGCTTTTTTTCAGTAACTTCTGTTTTGTGTGTGTGTGTGCCAAAAAATTGCACTGTGATGTATTTTTATTCATGCATGGAATATTCATAGTGTACTTTCCAGTAATACAGGTATAACTGAAATGATCAACATATGATTTAAAGCGCCCCTATTATGCCATTTCAAATATCGCCTTTTATGCAATATGTAATATAGCTCTATGTGAACGTAAATGATCAGCAAAGTTGTAAAGCCGAAAGTGCACGATAAATAAAGTTGTTGTCTCCCAGAAGAAACAATCGACTCTGAACAGTCTAAACGAGTCGTCAGTAATTCAAATCTAATTCTTCGAATAAGAAATTTGCATTGTGATGAAATGCCATTCAACGCCGATTTACAGGCAATTTCTTTCAGGGACACATCTTTTCAAGATTTTTTTAAAAATTGTATCAATCCCAGTTGTTCATATAGCTGGTGTTATTCCCATCTTAATTTGGGATATGCATACAGGGTTGTGTAATAAATGCACAATAAATTTTAGTACATCAATTCTGTCTTAGGTTTGCTACACAAATCAGGATTTCTAGTGACTTAGCTAATAATAATACATAATAAGCCACAGGTGCTGCACAGTCCTGATACCATTTTTTTTTTAAAGTCTGCTAGGATGTGGCATAGGTGTTTTAATGTGCCACTTGTGGGGTGACAAATCTAGATTAATGTGAGATATGTAAAACATTTAAATTAATGTAGGAACTGGGTTATGCAAATTTAAAAATGTAAAGTATATGAGAACAAAATTTCTTTTTCCTAGTCCATTTGGAATCTATGAATTTTCTATTGGTTTTCAGCCTCCAGCGAGAACATTAACCGTTTTGAATACTCAAAAAATGATGAAAACTTCACAGTATTCACCTCCTAAATATGATGAATAAAATCTCATGTGCTATGTATGAGTCATCACAGTTTATTTGTTTAACCATCTCTAAATTGGAAAAAACTTTGTGATTCTAATCCAACTGTAAAACCCCTGCTGATAGTTCAGAAGGTTACAGTTTGTTTCACAAGAGTTTGGTTTATAAATACAAACATTTGAACAATTTATATATGAGGACACATTTGTGGTGTAATGCATTTAAAAATGATTGATGTGCTTTATGAGTTAGATATGGAAATGGACTTTTGAATCAGTGAATATAGTGGTTTAAGCAAATTGAAATGTGTTTTAAGAAAATTAAGTCTCGAATATGAGCCTGATATTTCTCAAATGATTAGCCACTGTGCACATAGTCTGTTTCACGACTTCTTAAACCATGCTTCTCAGTTGCATTTACATTTTGCTTTTGGGCTTTACCAGTTGTTTCTTTTTCAAAAGTTCTTGCTCAGCATCAGACTTCAGCTTGGAGGGAGATTACTTATTGGGTGGCCTTTTCCCTTTACATGAAATTGAAAAGGAAACAACTCTGTTTTCTGCAGAGACCACCGAATGTTTCAGGTAAGCAAGGATCTTTTAGCAGTCTCGGGTTATGAATGCACAATATTTTAAATTAAAGCAGCATTTCCTCAAAGTCCTCATTGCTAAACGGAATATTCAATTACATGCTATTAACTCCCTCACTTATGTTTTCAAGGCACATTTCCTCAAAATCTGGCTATCACATGTTGCAAGTAATGAGGTTTGCTGTTGAGGAGATTAATAACTCCACCACTCTTCTGCCCAATGTTTCTCTGGGCTATGACATTTTTGATCATTGTTCTAATACAAAGAATTTCAATTCAGTCTTACGTTTCATCTCAAAGAATGGCTCAATAAAACCTAAAGAAAAGCTCAACAACTATCAGCCTAAAGTAATTGCTTTAACAGGACCATATGGAAGCACAAGAACTATGACTATTGCACCACTGTTCACAATGGACCTTATACCAATGGTAAATTATGTTTCTTTTTATACAGTATACATAATAAAATACTTACACACTTGCTTCCTACCCCGTATGACTACCATGTTACTACATATATGAGTGTTTTTTCTCTCTCAAAGGTGAATTATGGAGCTACTACCTATGCGTTAAGCAATAAACTTCAGTATCCTTCCTTTGTAAGAACAATCCCTAGCAACAAAGACATGATAGAAATGATTATTCACATCATACGGTGGTTTGGATGGAACTGGGTTGCCTTTATTGGTAGCCAAGACGATTACAGTTCAGATGGACTAAAGCTTTTTAATGAGTATATAAGCAATACTGGTATTTGTTTGGCCTATCAAGAGGGTCTAAGTCTAAACACAAACTACAGTCTAACGCTTAAAAAGATTGATATGCTCAACATCAATGTCATTGTAGTTTTTGCTTTGCCACAATATGCAAGCAAATTTATCAAAGCAGCCATAGCGAACAACATCCAAGACAAAGTATGGATTGCAAGTAATGCATGGGCTATGAATCAACAGCTTCCAAGAGAGCCAGGAATTGAGAAAATTGGCACAGTCATCGGCATTACAGAGAGACTGTTGTCATTGCCCGGATTTAATCAATTTGTCTATAAAGCCAGAGGAACATCTGATGCTGACCATAATGATGCTGAGGGTAAAGTCAAGAGTAAGACATGCAATCAAGTTTGTCATTACTGCTCATTGCTGACTGCAGAGGAGATTATAAACGAGAATCCCTCACTTTCCTTTGCCATATATGCTGCCATATATACGATAGCTCATGCATTACATAAAGTTCTGCAGTGTGACATCAATGAATGCCAGAAAAATACGATGGCCAAACCATATATGGTAAGTGAACTCATGTGAATCATGTCAAGTTGTAATATAACATTAATATAATATAATATAATATAATATAATATAATATTGATAATATAGTTATATAATTATACATTATTTGTGTTTTTTATTTCTTTACACACCTCACAACAGCTTCTGGGAGAAATAAAGAAGTTGCATTTTATACTCAATGGCCGTCAGGTGAAATATGATGATCATTTTGATCCAGCTATCAGTTTTGCAGTTGTGGTCTGGCGCACTGAAGTGAATCCTCCACAGTTTGTGATGGTGGGCACATATGAGAAACATGCAGGAATTACTTTTACCATTGATAACTCTCTCCTTCCCTGGCGTAACAATGGTTCTGTAAGTCTTTTTGTTGAGAGTTTATCTAAATATTGATTTAATTATACATTTTATTTAGCTTTATAGATTACAGTTTTCTCAATCAGTTTTACACATTTTGCCAAATGAAACTTAACTAACAGACTTCTACTTTAGCAAAACAATTCAATTTATCGTCATGATGAGAAATGAGGTTTGCTGTTGAGGAGATTAAAGGGGTCATGAAATTAAGAATTAAAATGTTGATATTTAAACATATGAGAGGTTACTAACAAACAAAATGTACTGCAAGTTTCAAAGCTCAAAACTAATGCCCCAAGTTAAAATATAAATTATTGTTACCCTTCGGAAATGCCAGGATTTGAAATCAGGACAATCATGATGTCACAATTTCACTTCAACACGCTCCTTAACATGCATCATTGTTTTATATAATCAAGAAGGTGTGTTCAGAACTAATGTCTGTCCATCAATCAAAAGAGCTTTACTGTAAAGATAGGCCGTTTTGGTGCAAAAAAATACTTCATCATCTAACCTGGAGAAACATAATATAAAAATTTGAAACTGCATCTCATGGTCAGGACAAGCTTGGCGTTTCAGAGAACCGTGGGTTATGAACAGTCACCTGTTTTTTGTTTTATCTTTCATCATCTTGTGTTCAAGATCCACCTATTGGAGATATGGACAGCCCCATGGTTGCACAATATGCTCACAGTGAGACTCTGAAAGCCTGAGCAAGGTCACCTAAGAGACATGTCACCAAGTATTCATACAGAAAATGAGTCAATCTGGTTAGTCAATCTTACCCCAGATGTAGAGATTTACTGGGCTAGGAAGGACATTATAGATCGCTCGATTCAAGTACTTGCGGGGTCATGGCTGGGTTGTGGATTGACTCCTAACCCTGCCCAGCCCGTAGTTACCATGCCCACCAAAGTCTGTGTCCCTGCATCTCATCTGGGACTCTCAGACTCTCCTGTGCTCTCCACTTCCTGCCTGTCCACACCATGATGCCTGCCGATGCCACCCTCGAGTCCTTAGAGTCCAGACAGAGTAGTGCCTCTCTGGTGTGAGAGACATTGAACTCCTCATTGAGGCTGCTGAACAGGAGCTAGAGTGCATTTTTCTTTCCATAGAGTGCTACGTTGCTCAAGCTCCATGGCAATCCCAACCACCTGCGGATGTAGCTACTGACCTTCTTCTCCATGGTCTCCACTGCTGACTTAATACATCAGCAGAGGCCAGAGGACTCGAAGTACAATGCCATGTTGGTATATCCAGGCTTTAAATTGGCCTAGTAGGCTAGACTTTTCAACTGTGGGGAGCCAAGATTCAAGCTCCCTGATGGTCGATGAATGGCCGTTGCATCTCTGAGGCTGCACTCAAAGACCTTGTCAAGGCTCCTGACAGGTTTCTTGTTGATGCATGGGATTACAATCCCACCCACCCGGGAGCAGAACTTGTCCACCCTTTTCCTCACAATGGACCTGGACTTGGCAGACTTGAAACTCATCCTAATGGCCTACTTCCTCCTTGAAACAAGTCAGATATCCACTTTGCTTCTGCCCAAAAAGCTGTTTTGTGAACCCGAAGGGATTGGCTATGAATGTAGTTCAATTCCTTACTGTCTCTCCGCCACCTTCTGTGCCACTCTGTTCTGCAGGGTCACGAGTTTCTTACTAATGCTGTGGCAGAGCTCGATGAGTGGTAGTTTCTCATCCTCAGTTGCTGCCTTGAACTATCTTGTCAAAGCTCGAAACTCTTTCTGCAGTTAGTGGATCTTGTCTGCCCTTCGGTTCATGGTGTGCTTTGGTCTGCTGGTCTTGCACTCTTCAATGCCAAAGCTCTCTGTCACAAAACTGACAGTGATGGTGGTCACTGTGGTTTGCTTTGGTGGTGATAATTCTTGCCATATCCTCAACAAACTGGCATCATACTCTATGCTGGCTTGCTGCAGACCACTTGATCCTATGCTGCTGAAATAATCTGCCTGGAGCAGAAGAGTTTTATGCTTGGAGGTTTTAGTCACTTTGGGGTGTCTCCGGGCCAGGGTCCTCTTGCGTCTCACTAGAATTAACTTCTGTGCGTTGTGCTGTGCTCTCCTGCACCATGCATTTCATCTTGGTCTAATAGATGTTAAGGCCATGCTGATTCTTGCAGACCTTGCTGCAAATGTATCTTGAAGTTGTCATTATTGCTAATCCATTTGCCAAGGTCATCATCATTGGGTCCATCCTATTGTGGTGCTCACCCCCCCCCCCCCCCCCTTTCAGGTTTATGACTCTATGGGTGAATCTGTAGCTTTATGAGGTTCCTTTTCTTGGAAGATGCAGGTTGGGCTGCTACTCCTTCCTGCTCCAATTGCTGTCTGTCAACTGTCTCTCCTGTTGTCACCAATCTATTCTCGGTTTTTAACCAGTCTATTACTGGGTGTCATTGGCTGAGCCAGTATAAATGCATCAAAGATACATCATAGGATGCACTAAAACACATTTGAGGTCATCGGGTGTTTCGGGTCTTTCAACATCATACACCCTCACTCAGGTGACCCAGCCAGAGTTGATCAGACCCTGTCCCAGCAGCACAAGGCCATGGATCACTCTTCTTAAGTCACAGTCATCTGGAAGCCCTTACAATCATATGGTCCAATCCTGTTTAGGATGCGTCTGTCATTACCACTTTCCACAACATAATTGCCCCAACATGAGGAGGGTCCCATGAGCTTAAAACTCTGCATTCCTCCAGTGGTGCAGCACTGCTGTGCATGAGCTGAAGAGATGAACAGTGTGAGATGAAGAGATAAAACCCACTTCATTAATGCTCTCATTATCAAAGTGCCCAGAAGCAGGATATGGGCAGCTGAAACCATAAAACCCTGTAGCCTGAGACATGTGCAATACTGTACCATTGCTGTGCTGATGACACACAGCTCTATCCTTCATCTCAACCAGAAGACTTATGCATCTTATGCACTTTATTCCTTTTCCATTCATGGTATTAATTTAGTAGTTGTTTACTCTTGAAATGTTGCTCCTTTCCACACTGCATTGTTACCAACACAACCAGTGGAAGAAATCACCGCCACCAGACACTTTACCACAGAGAATGTAAATATCATGTATCCAAATCTCTGAACACACCATACTAGTATCACATAGTGGAACGTCTAGGTTACTTGTGTAACCCTCGTTCCCTGAAGGAGGGAACGGAGACGTTACGTCAGTGACTGACGAATTGGGATCTCGCCCGAGAGCCCAATCACCTTCGAGTGTTGAATAAATGATGACAGATTTTTCATTTTCGATGAAAGCTCCCTCCGTTTATTCTACAATACAATACTTTACTGGAGTTATGGTGCTATTTGAAGACTAAATATTTCCCACATCAAGTTACAATTATTGCAAAATACTACTAAACAATTATATTACTCTTTTTTTCAGGGGACCCTTATACTTGTTTTCCTTGTGCAGAGGGTGAATGGTCTGATGAGGGCAGCACGACATGTAAGACTCGCTCTGTTGTCTATCCTCAGTTCACAGAAATCCCCTCCATCATTGTCATGGTTTCTGCTGCATGCCTAATTATTCTCCTTATTGCCATATTTTGCCTTTTTGCCTCGAATAAATGATGACAGATTTTTCATTTTCGATGAAAGCTCCCTCCGTTTATTCTACAATACAATACTTTACTGGAGTTATGGTGCTATTTGAAGACTAAATATTTCCCACATCAAGTTACAATTATTGCAAAATACTACTAAACAATTATATTATTTTACTCTTTTTTTCAGGGGACCCTTATACTTGTTTTCCTTGTGCAGAGGGTGAATGGTCTGATGAGGGCAGCACGACATGTAAGACTCGCTCTGTTGTCTATCCTCAGTTCACAGAAATCGCCTCCATCACTGTCATGGTTTCTGCTGCATGCCTAATTATTCTCCTTATTGCCATATTTTGCCTTTTTGCCTACAATTACGACACGCCAGTGGTGAAGTCTGCTGGTGGCGGCATGTGTTTCCTCATGCTGACCAGTTTGATTATGTCTAGCATAAGTGTGTTCTTTTTCTTTGGAAAACCAACATTTGTATTTTGCCTCCTGAGAAATGCCATATTTGTATTTTTCTTCACTGTCTGTATTTCCTGTTTGACTGTCCGTGCCTTTCAAATTATTTCTGTTTTTAAAATGGCTACTCAGTTCCCTAAGTTGCACAGCCTTTGGGTAAAGCACAATGGCCAGAGTCTCTTCATTGCATTTGTTTCTTTCATTCATTTCATTTCTTGTGTGATCTGGATGACTGTCGACACTTTCAAACTCATTGCTGACTCATGGACTTATAAAGATCAACTTATGCTCATGTGTGAAATGGGGAACACTATAACATTAACCATAGTCGTGTTTATAAGTTGGTTTCTTGGTTTCCTGTGTCTATTGTTTTCTTATATGGGAAGAGATCTGCCGAAAAATTACAATGAGGCCAAATCAATAACATTTAGTCTCATTTTGTACTATCTGAGCTGGATTGCATATTTCACAGCATACCTCACTCTCAAAAGCAAATACATTGTCGTTTTGAATGCAGTGGCCCAGGTATCCAGTATAAATGGAATTCTCTTCAGTTATTTTATACCAAAATCTTACATCATTATATTCCAACCACAAAAGAACACTCCTGCATACTTTCAAACTTCTATTCAGAATTACACCCAAACCATTAGTAGGACCTAGACTCAGACATTAGTTGTGTATAGTTGTGTTGTGTATGGAAAGTCAACTCTTTAGTTTTCAACTGTTTAGATCTTTCACTTTTATGTAGAGAAAACAAGCAGGCAAAGTAGAGAATGGAGATCTATTTTGGGGTTCAATCTTTGGGTTTTATACATATAATGTAGGCTAATGTAAACTCAAAGCCTTCTTTTTTTAAACTTACCGTATAATAAAGACCTTTTTCAAACTTCAATAACTAGTGTCCACAGGGCCGTTTCTAGCCAATTTGACGCCCTAGGTGAAATCCCTATTGCCCCCCCCCC